CCCTTTCTCTTTTGTAAAAACCTTTAGCTGCTCTTGAGAACAAAAAGCCTCAACTAAAAACGGCCCTGCCGCCAGACCACTGTGCCCGGGGACGGAAAGCGGGGAGGGAAGGAAGCTCGGTGGAGGGCGCCGCGGCCGCCAGAAGCAGGAGGAGGAGGGGAGGGCGGGGTCAGTCTGCGCGGCACGACGGCTCGCTCGCTCACTCCACGGTCGTGGCGCACAGGAGGCGGGGACGCAGTCATTTGCTTTTTTTTGTTTGTTTCGTGTTAGAGCCAAGCAGGGCAACGCCACAGATCCACGGGTGCAGAAGCTGGTTGGGCAACGGAGCTTGCAGGCGTGGAGGACAGCAGGGAGGTCCCGCAGTCGGGGCCAGGCCGGTGGGCGGCGGACCCACCGGGGCGACCCCGCAGCCTCCGGCGGCAGCGAGGCCGAGGGCGGCAGGCCTCCCGGGCCGGCCAGGCCCCGCTCTTCAGGCCTTGCTCTCCTCCAGCGCCGCCGCCCGGGGCTTGATCGCTCCAGTTCGCTTCAGCTGGCAAGCGGCTGAGGGGGCCTCCTGCAGCTTCGCGGCTCCCAGGCTGGGCTTTTCATCCACTCGTTGTTTTGCCTTTGGACAGACGGATGGGGACAAAGAAAGTCACCCTCATGCAGACACGCCTGCCAGGATCCGCGGTCCCACCACCCGCTTCCTGCTCCTGAGTCAGAGGAAAGCCACCCTAAGAAGCCCATCCTTCGGTCGAAGGACCAAGCTCAGAAGTGACTGGCCTGGGAAGGACGCTGGCTTGAGGCTGCTCTGGTCCCTCCCACGGGCGCTGAGCGCAGTGATTCGGAGCCGCGGGAGGACCCCGGGTCCTCCGGGAACCATTCTGCGCTGCCCAGGGGCCTCTCTGCAGGCGGCACACCCAAGGCCGCTTGGAGGGACCTTTTTCAAATCAGTGCACCCCACGCCCCTCAGAGCTCCCGACTGTGCTGAGGGGGCGCAGGGCCTCTTGCCCAACTTGGTCTCCCAGATCTTCCACCCTCCCTGACTCCCACGGTGTGGAAACCTTTCCCCAAGCCCCTAATTTGACCTCCAGAGTCGCGGTCAGGGTCCCGTTACTCTGCAGCTCTGCACAGTGAGGTGTGTCGCAGAGTGAGCAGCCTGCCTTCGGCCCCTCATACAGTGGGGGGAGCTCTGAAGAAAGCTCTAGAGGCTCAGTCCAAGCAACTCAAAGAGCGACCCTCGGGGAACCAAGTTAGGAGACGTGAAATGAACAATCAAGCTTCCACCTCCACCATCCAAGAGTGCTGTTTTACTAACACCCCCCTCCTGACGAGTCTGAGCTCTGGAGCCTGGTCACATTTTAGAGGAGTGAAGAGAATCACGAGGAAGGCAAAGACGCCAAGAGACCCGTCTCGTTACAAAACGGGGAAACATCATTCCGTCTGGATCCCACCCGGCCAAGACGAGGACGAGACACAGCACTTACGAGGCCAGCACGCGCAGGCACACACGCCAGGCACGCACGCGCACGCACACCCCCGGCTCCTAGAGCTGACCCACGGGCCTAAGCGGGTCCCAGCACCTTCACAGCCCAATGGCTGCGGAGGGAGAGTCCACCTTCCGGCACCACCTCCTCAGAGGAACCCGCACCCTCCCTTCTCTGCGGACAAGGAAGGACCCAGACGCCCGTCAAGAGGAGAAGTGCCTTCTCCAGGGGCGACTCGGGCTCCCCGGCTCCCACGCCACGCTCTAAGCGCCAGGGCACGTCTCTCGTTCTAAGAGGAGCACGCAAACGGCTGGACAGTCCCTCCTCTTTTGGCACTTGGAGACGGGCCTAAGCGTCCGGGGCTGGAGGGTCTGGAAAGCCATCTTCTACCTGTTGAACGTAGTGTCCCTGCACAGAGCCCATGTTAACTGCTGATCCAGAGGGCTTCCCACTGGGGCTAGCAGAGCTAGGCCTGAAAAAACCAAAGGAGGGGATGAGAACACACGCGTCACCACGGAAACGGAGTCAAGCCTCCAACAGAGGAAACAGACCCAGACAGCCAGAGCGCAGGGGGCGAGGGTGTCGCCACTGGGCCCTGGCACCTCCAACCCAGCTCATGGGGACACACCTGAGGGGCAGAAGCCAGGTCCCCAGCACGGGCAGACACTGACCGGTCAAGACGACAGACGGACACCAACCGTCTCTCAGGTTTGGAGGGTCTAGACCAACATGATGCTCCAGACAAAAGGTCTATTAACCTGACACATGAGGGAATTCCCTGACGGTCCAGTGGTTACGACTTGATGCTTTTACTGCCGTGGACCCAGGTTCAATCTCTGGTAGGGAAACTAAGATCCCGCAAGCCGTGTGGCACAGCAAAAAAAAAAAAAAAATTAAAAAAGAAACAAAAATGAACTTCAACTCCAACAGGAGTTAGACTTCAAAAAGAAAAGGGAATTTCCTAGCAGTCCAGAGGTTAGGTCTTGGCACTTCCACTGCGGGGGCCTAGGTTCGATCCCTGGTCGGGGAACTAAGATCCTGCAAGCCGCACAGCGCAGCCAAAAAAAAAAACCCGAACGAACAAACAAACAAACCTGATATGTGAGTTATGCTGAGTATCTTTCCAGTCTTCACTTGTGGGGTGGAGGGTAGGGGTGGTAAAGAGAGATACCAAAAGTAACAAAAATGTAGAACATCTTTCTAAATGTGTTCCACCGACCAGACAACTAGCTCCCAGGGATGTTAATCAGGCGCTACGTGGAAAAAAGATCCTGGGGTCAAAATCGTTAGGTAGTTACGTGTGCAAAGTTCTACAGGACTTTCCCCCGGGGGCCAGGGGCTGCTCAGGCCCTATGCTGAGGTGCACCCCGACTCCCCAACAAGCCCTCTCGGGCATGCACGCCCCCCAAGTATCTGACCAGGGAACGCCTTTCTGACAGGGCATGCCTCAGAAGCCCTGTTTCCAGAAAAGTTAGGCAACACTGCACTGTAAAAATATACCAATTTCCTCAACCCCACTAAGACACCAACAATACAAAGGCTACTAATTAAGGCTTATATTTTGTAAACATTCTCCAAAGAATAAAGCTGCTGCTGCCATTCCTACAGTGAATGGACACAGGCGACTCTTGTTATGTGAGCGTCCCTTTCTGGATTTGCCTCTGAGGAAGGCTCTGCAGCCAGATGAGGCTAAAACCTGCCTGGGGCAGCAGGGGAACGACAGCCTCTCTTTATGCTTGAAGCTTCCTTTTTCCTTCCAAATCACACTCATTGTTTGGCGCTGCTGTCCATGTATATTTTTCTTACAGGTCTGTTATTTTGGCCTATGTGAAAAATATGGCTGGAAAGCAAAACAAAAGTCAAGTCAAGCCAAGAGGGTGAAAATAAGAACAGGAAAGATAATGACACGGAGGAAAATTCACAAAAAGCCCTCTCTCGGGAAATGCAGCTGGAGTACGGACTGACGTGACCACGGAGCAGGACTCGGCCTCAACACTCCGAGCGCGACGGGGCAGGGCGGGCGGCCGTGCGGGCAAACCCTGCCCTCAGCCACGCCGGCAGCCTCGCGCAGGGCACTGCAGGTCACGCACACCTGTTTTACTCGTGTGCAGACAGGAGGAACCTCCAGGAATCTCCCACAAGTAACAAGAGTCGACTGTGCCAACCCTCGGGCCAAGCGCCGTGTGCTGCCTCCCCAGCCGCACGCTTCTCCGCGGGTGAGAGAACCATCAGAAGCAGGCGCTCCCTGACTTTCTAACGCGCTGAGTCCCGCTGACCCTTGAGCATCACGGGTTTGAACTGCATGGGTCCACTTACACGTGGATTTTTTTTCAGTAAGCACGTACTACACGATCTGCAGTTGGTTGAATCCTCGGATGTGGAACTGTGGACACGAAGGGCTAAACGTAAAGTTATACTTGAATTTTCAAATGCATGGAGGGTCAGCGCCCCTAACCCCTGCGTTGTTCAAGGGTCAACTGTAACTCAACATCATGACTGATACAAAGCCCCCCTCTGAATCCAGCCAAGGGACCCGGGACGGTTACTGGAGGCGGAGACAGATCCTGAGAAGGCAAAGAAGGTACAGCTCTCGCCCTACGAGCCCAGCAGCAGCAAGCCCTGGTGGGGTCACAAGGCCATTCAAGGGCCATGTGGCCCCAGGAAAGGAAACCCCCCAGCTTCCAGGGTATCTGCCCTCTCTGCCAGTGAATCTTTAAAAAAAAAATCTGGTGAGAAAGCTGTTAGTAGCCAGGGTCTGTCCTGACGCTATTATAACATTAGCCTTTCCTTTCCCTGCCTTTCCAGAAAGTTCTCCCATACCAGAACATTTTATGATGATGATTAAAAGCAAAGCCATGCCCCAGAGTTCCTGAGTCCCCTGTGTCCCAGCACTGGAACTTCACGGTGACACACAGGCTGCCAAAGGCGACCCAGCCTCAGTGCCCTCGCGCTGCTCTCCCTGGGCCCGCGATTCCACAGAGAGGGCTCAGCTGTGAGCATCTGACCCCCAGGGCATCTCTTTACCTGTAGGTCTGTGGTGATGGCATGGAGCCTCCTGAAGAAACATTCTGTTTACTGTCGACAAAGTGGAAGCCCTTCATCTCCATCTGAGAGGACTAAAGACACCGGGAAGTGATGGGCTGTCACTGGAACGCCCTGGGGACAGCTGCCCCCGCCACCAACCACCCTGGGCAGAGCCAGTGGGGGCCACGAGGGCTTCAGGACAGAGAGGCATCTCGTCAAGGAGCGTGCACGCCTGGCCTTCCAGTGCAGGCTGGAGGCAGGAGCGACCACGTGTGTTTGTTCCCTTGGCACGGGCGGGGAGGGCAGACTGTGCGCCAGCCCTGAGCACTGGCCGCAGTGAACGGGCCCTCTCTGCCCCGGAGGCCACCCTCTGCAGCACCCCGGGAGCTGGCAAGGACTTCGGCCCCCCAGACCTCAGCCGCAGGCACCTTCCTCCCTGCCCTGCTCACCCAGGCCTGTTCACGTTGCTAGTAACATGCGACCAGGGCTTCCTGCCACGGGACTGAGAGGACTCGGCAACGAGTGGGCCACCAGCGGTCTGGCGAGGCCTGGAGCCTGCGTCCCAGACCTCCGGCACTCTCCCCCGCAACAGTGGCTCCTGACTGGCCAGAAAGGGTCTCCGAGACGGGAGCCCCACCCCACCCCAGGGCCACAGCAAGACGGAGTCATCCTCACCTCTCTGCTGGTGTTAAGGACCGAAGGCTGGGACCCGGGTGGGAGCATTCTTCGGGGCGCCCCGACAGAGAGGCTCTGCCCCTGTGAAAGCTGGATGGACTGCGGCAGGAGCAGGGGCTGCTGCCCAGAGCCGTACCGAGGCAGGGGCAGCTGGGAGCCAGGCAGCGGCATCGTCAGCTGCTAGACAACAGGGACAGTCAGGGGAAGGACGCCACAAACTGCCATCTACACACGCGTCCAAGAGCAACCGTGCGTCACACTTCACGCTCTCATTGCAGATGAAAGGAAGCAAGGCCTTCACACAGTAGGACAGATTCTGGATAGAACACAGCAGGGATCACCCTAGACTGCATACTCTCAGCGGCAGGGGGCAAGCCTTAGGTGGTGAGAAAAGAACTCGGACGGCTAGAAAATAAGCAGGACAGCTACGGGTGTCAAGTGCGGAAGGCGGGCGGCAAACCCCGTGTGCGTGTTGAGGGGCGGGGGGCGGGGAGAAAGGTCAGGAAGGTCTAGAAGCCTTCTCAGGAAGCAGTGTCCAAGCGAGTCCCGAAAGATGGGAGCTAGACAGGAGGGGTATCCTTGTGCCCCTTTTTGCAGCACAAAAAGGCAAGGCTGCTTCATGCTCTGCCTCCGAAGGTGACAGAAAACAACTGGAGCCTGGGGTCTAGGGTTCCCGCAGTCTTGGAGCCTTCTGAAGCCTGTTCTCCTGAAGTCCAGAATGAGGTGCGAGAAGGCAAGGAGGTGGGCCAGGAGACCCTCGGGACGGGGCAGGCGGGCCAACTGTGGTCTCTCGGTCACCCTCCTCTTCATCTCCCTGCTACTGAGTCCACAGTGGAGGGTCGGAAGGACCTATTGGAATGGCATCACCGAGACATGGGGCAGCCGCACCTCAAGGCCCGGGCCCCTCCTTGCGCACAGCTGGGTGCGGGAAGAAGGTAGGGGTGGCGCAGCGTTTCTGGAGCGCTGGCTCGGGGCGCGGTGTGTGAGCCGACGTGAGTCTTAAAGAGGCGCCCTGGCTGCTGTGCTGAGAACAAACTGGCAGCCGAGAGCAGGAGCTGGGCGCGGCGGGTGGCTGGGGTGGGGGGCGTGGAGGGGAAGAGAAAGGGCCAGACTCTGAATACTTTTCAAAGGTAGGACTGACGGGATGTGAAGAATCAGCGGGGGCGTGGCGGAAGCAGGGATCCAGGGACGCCCCATGCTGGACATGAGCAGAGATGACGGGCAGCCCACTGGGTCTGAGTTCAGGTCCGGGAGACAGAAATTTGGGAGAACCGGGAAGCGTTGGATTTGGGTCAGGCTTAGAGCCACAGGTCTAGAAAGAGGCCCGAGGACGGAGCCCTTAAGGCACAGCGAGTTACTGCCTGGGGAGGTGAGGGGGAGACAGCAAAGGAGACCGGGAAGAGGCCTCAGGGAGGTGGGAGAAAAACCAGGAGCAGTGTCCTCGGAACCCAGAGAGCGTGGTTCGGGGTAAGGAGTGACCACTGGGTCAAATGCTACTGATGGGTCAGTAGGAGGAGGGTAAAGAACCGTCAGGTTCAGTAACATGGAATCTACCGGTGTCCCTAAAGAAGTGTTTTGTTTCTTAAAAAATGAGGAAAGACTGGGCTGCCTGGGGATGTGGCAGAAGGGACCCTCACAGCCGGACGGCAGCACTGCAGCACCTCTACGTGCTGACGGCGGGAAGAGGACGCTAGCTGGGGCAGCTCCCAGGCAGGTGGAGAGGATGGGCTGCCCGTTCTCACCCCAGGGCCCCTCGCAGGCTCGGAGACGTGGCGCTGGGAGCTTGCAGGTATTCTCTTTTCCTCGTTACGACTCATTTCTTTGGCGACACAGGATGCAAAATCACGGTGGGGGAGAAGGCAATGAGGAGGGTGGGGAGGTGACCAAACGTTGGCTTTCCAAGGGGCGGCTGTATTTAATCTGAATCCAGTCTGACGGGGTCGGTTTCCCTCCAGCCTCAGGAAGCCGGGCAGAGGCGGGCCAGGGTTTAACCCAGGTGAGCACAGGGAGGGAGGGGTGGGGCGGAGCTGAGTGCAAATGACAAGGA